TGTGTTTCAAATTACAAGGACACAAGGTATATCCTCGTAAATAGAACACTTATTAGAGTCCAACTAGGACAAACCCATGTCATTATACAAATTTTGCAAACCACCAAAACCAGCGCGCACAGACACACACAGACACACACACACACACACACACACACACACACACACACACACACACACTCACTCACTCACTCACTCACGCACACACGCACGCACACACACACACACACACACACACACACACACACACACACACACACACACACACTTCACTGCTTTATGACAAAATAAATAAAAACAAACTCAGACTACAGTGATACACCTCCAAACACCCCTCATCATCATCATCATCATCATCATCATCATCAGAGTGTACAGCTCTGGCACAGAGATCTCCAGTCTGTGTGTGTGTGTGTGTGTGTGTGTGTGTGTTCACCTGCAGGTCCTGCACAGAGATGTCCAGGTGTGTGAGGTACAGGTATGGTGTCCCGCTGCTGGCCCCGGGCGGCCCGTCGCTGATGGAGAAGCTGTTGGAGAAGGGCTGTCCGCGCACCGGCTCGCGGCTGGAGATCGTCGCCACTGAAGCCCAGTCGCTCTTACTGACCACAAACCGGGCCATGCGCGCCACCTGCTCGTGCGGCGGAACCAGAACCAGCGGAAACACCGGAGCGGCGGCGGAGAGAGCCAGAATCACGGGGAGCAGCGCGCGCAACATCACGAGCGAGCGGGAGAAGAAGAAAACAACAACAACAACAACTGCAGAGGGTCAGATAAACACCGCGGCGTCTCTGATGTCCACAGCGCCACGTGACCAGCGCAGTCATGTGACCTCAACACAGCACGTGTTCACTTGCACAAGCTAGTAAACAGATGATGACGCTCTGCTGCCAGACTGACTTTCACTCGTTCATAAGAGTTAATCACACGATTCATTCAGTCACTCTCTGAAAATAATGGATGTAAAGATGATTAAGAGTTATAAACAGGAGAGATGATGACTCTATCCTGAACTGCACAGAGAAACAAAAGCTGAAACACAAACACTGTAGAGCTCACCATGACCCGCACATGTCCAACACAACTACAGCAACACCGTTTACTCAGTGATTATCACTCTACATCAGGGAGGAAGTGTCAACAGACGGAAAACTAATACATTGACCCTTTTTTATTATTAATATTATTAAAAGCTCATCTGCATATGATCATACAGCGATGACGTCATTATTTGTATTCAGCTCCTCTAGTTAAGTGAACAGAGTATTGCTCTTAATGAGCCTCTGTCATTGGATGTTTGCTGGAATGAGCTCAGCTTCTGATTGGCTGCGGACTCATTTCCCACAGCTGATTTAATGAACCTTAATTAAGCTCCAGGATAAAAGAGCAAACCCTGATCTGAGAGCAGCATCTGCACTGTGCCTGAGTTACTCTTGAGTCAAGTTCATCAGGTGAGTTCCTGCAGGTGTAGTGTGTGCTTTACTGTTGAATTCGGCTGTTGGGTTATTATATTTCTGCATTATTCACAGATTATAGACCATATCATGATATGCTCTTTATAGTTTATACTGATGTTTTTGTAGAGAACTTCTGGTTTCCAGTGTTTATTTAGTGCATATTAGCTGTTTTTGACTGTCTTCATCAGCATAGATGAAAACAAATTAATTATTTAATAACTATTTATTTATCTTCCTTTCATGAGCTAAAACTGGAGCACAACTGTCCAGAGTACCGTAATCAAGTGTTGAGCGCTCCTGTTTAAGGGCGCTTTTCATTGAAATGTACCTGCAGTTCTGGATATGGACTCATGTTTATTCAGTCTTGATCAATAACTGTATCTCCTCCTGCAGCTCTGTTCATCATGTCTGGTCGTGGTAAGAAGCTGGCAGCTCCGCAGAAGAGTAAGACCTCAGTGTCCCGCTCTGCACGTGCTGGTCTGCAGTTCCCGGTGGGCCGCATCGCTCGTCTCCTGCGGAAGGGGAACTTCGCGGCACGCATCGGCTCGGGAGCGGCGGTGTACCTGACTGCGGTGATCGAGTACCTGTGTGCTGAGGTGCTGGAGCTCGCAGGAAACGCCAGCAGAGACAACAAGAAGCTCCGCATCGCACCACGACACATCCAGCTAGCGGTGCGCAACGACGAGGAGCTGAACACTCTGCTGGGCGGAGTCACCATCTCTGAGGGCGGAGTCCTGCCCAACATACAGGCAGTGCTGCTGCCCAAGAAGACCAAAGCTGCCCGCGAGCCAAATGCTGGCACCGAGGCGCAGTCGCAGGACTTCTGAACACCACAGAGGCTTTTAGCACTTATTTTAGGACCATGATATTAATAAAGAACTTTTTCTTAACCTACAGCTCTCGCGCATGCTGCTTGAACTCGTTCTGTTTGCCTGCTAGCCTTAAAGGCTTTGAGATTCTAGCTATATATATTCTTCCCCCTCCTCCCCAATGGATAGAATTTACAGGAGATGAGGCAGAAAGAGGGGCAATGTCTGCAAAAGACCTCAAGCTGGAAATTGAATCCAGGTCTGAGCGCACTATGGTGCTACATGTCTGTGCAGTTACCCGCTAGGCCACAGGTGTCAAACTCAGTTCCTGGAGGGGCACAGCTCCGCACAGTTTTGCTGCGACTCTAATTAAACACGCCTGATCAAACAGTCCTTCAAGCTTGTATGAAACCTGCAGATCAGTGTGTTGAAGCAGGGTTGAAACTAAAGCTGTGCTGGACTGCGGCCCTCCATGAACTGAGTTTGACACCCCTGCTCAAGACTATTGCCACTGACTAGATTCAAGCTTGATCTCACTTTAAAGACTCTTGTCAGATTGTATTTAAAGTGATCCTTATGAAATCTGGATAATTATGTGCCTCACACTTACGAATCTGACATTATAGTAATAATAGTCGGCAGCTGAAGTGGTTCGAAATGATTCTAAACAAAAAATGTTAAATAGGTAAATGGGGGGGGGGGGGGGTTATTTAAAGCATTTAAGCCCAGATTTGACTGCTCAAAGCCAAATATCTGAAGTTATCCCAAATTTGAAGTGCTTAAAGAGGGTTTTCAGTAAAACTGCTGCGCTGCAGTTCCAGAGATGACCACCAGAGTACATCCATGACCATATAAGGGCGATCCTGTTTGTGTGTTTGAGGGAATATGAGCTCTGTTTATATTGCAGACACTAAAGTCTATATAGTAGTATGGGCAGCTTGAGGGCATTTACTCAGAGTTTCAGCCTCTTCAACTCTACATTTAGCTCAATATCATGACAGGTTTAATCTCAATATAGTGAAATAAAGAGAAGCGCTGTGCTGTAACTGTAACTGACCGCAGAGAGCTGCTGAAACCAGAAAAACCACTGCATCCCCTCTGACACAGCTCACATTCAGCTGACGCTTTAGTCCAAAGAGACTTGACAACACGCGCGCGCGCGTCTGCACTGCTCTCACTGACCTTTACTGTGGTTTAGACAACTCCAGCATGCTCAGACATCTCATGAGCAAATGAACAGCTGTAGTGCTGAGTGTTTAACAAAAAAGCCGGTCTCTGCTGTGTGTGTGTGTGTGTGTGTGTGTGTGTGCTTGATGCTTCTGTCTCTGTTCATCTAGAACTCTACATCTATAATCCTCCTAGTCTATGCTGACATCATCTTCAGCAGCTCAAACACTCTCATGGTGAATGGACAGACGGCTGCTTCTCACTCAGGCCTGCTGGACATGCTAATGAGATGGAGACTAGTGGGCGGGGCTTTCCCCCTCTGATGACACGAACAGAGTGAGAATGTCAATCAAGTGTTTCTGCAGACTGTGTGTGTGTGTGTGTGTGTGTGTGTGTGTGTGTGTTGATCATGAAGAGTTTATATCAAGATCTCTAGTTTATTGTCAAAGATATTTTATTGTGCAGCGACTGAGAAAATCAGTGAGTGTGTGTGTCACAAAACAGCAGCACACACTCATAACCACTGAGCTGAATCCTGAGTCACACACGCACACTTTAACTTACACCCATGCACTCGCTCTCTAACACACATTGAGCTGTGCTTCCTCCTGGTGTGTGTGTGTGTGTGTGTGTGTTCTCCTACACACTGCAGTGTTTCTCTTCTGTCTTCTGCTGTTCAGTGTTTGTGCAGCTCCAGGTCAGTTCAGTTCCAGCTTTCACTGGTCTAACACACACACACACACACACACATTCATATGAACACATATACACACACACACACACACACACACACACACACACACACACACATGTACTGTATATGCACACACACACACACACACACACACACAAACACACACACACATGGACACACTCACACACACGTGAAGGAAACAGACAGCATCAATGAAGGTCTTAAAACTTTTTCTTAAAAAACAAAACAACATTCACAACAAAGGTCAAAGGTCACATCAATATAAATTAGCACAGCAAACACATGAACAGTTAAATATAGCTTTATAATCTCGCTTCTCTCTTAGTTTGGAGTTTAAAAACACAAAGTGGACGTCCCTCATGCTGCGCTATTATTGCAGGAACTACAGCTTCCTCTGACATCACTTCCTCTGGTGGCAGAATTCCTCATTATTCCTCAAATTAAGACTAAAGGATCCTAGAGTTCCCTCATGAACCGTGATTCACTCACACACACACACACACACACACACACTCAAACACACACACACACACACACACACTCTCACTGGCCACTTTATTAGGT